GTGAGGAAAGGGTTCTGAGAGCCTTGGAAGTGATATTCGTGATCACCGCGAAATTCTCTATCGAATGGTGTATGAAGTGTCGAAAAATAAATTTCACTGCAAGGCTGCCCTGGGTGCATCTTACCTTTTCGCTTGAAATATGAACAATGGTTTGTTGAAACTGCTGAGTAACAAGAGATTATTTTTGGTATGAATGATGTTGATTTATCTAATTTAAAAGTCAGCGTTTAACGTATTTTCAAAATTTTAATTAAACTATACACACACCAGAAAACTAAAAGACAGTCAACGATACTATGTATATATATGTTAAACTGGACGAATTAATTTATATCCCGATTGGGCTATATATTTTTTGACTATATCTGGATCGGGATAAGTAGTAAGTACGCTTATCACCACTAAATTTCATATGCATAAGTAACGAAATAGTGCGTCTATAAGTTCCTTCTTATACAGTTGATATTAACTTTATTTAGTAAGAAAAAGAAGAACAGTACAAAGATTAAAATCACGACCTAGGGACCACATAATAGTTTATACCATGTTCCATCAAATTTGATTCATCAAAAAATTCGGGACTTAAAGGATTAAATCACTATCGACATCCATCGTTGAATGTCATTTTGATTGAAATAGATATATCATAAACATAACCATATTGTTTCAGTTTTTTCGATAGTTTTTACCATTCCAAAAACTATTAAAAGACCTTACATCTCTGCTGCATTTTTTGTTCCGAAATAAATGTCGGACATCTTCAAAGAATAAATAAGGTGTTTGAAATACAATCAGAACCTTTGGCGTTAGGATAAGACTACGTTGTAATGAATCAGTTGTCAACGTTTTTATAGATCTACTATGATTTGTTCGGAACATATTAAAATAGACGATGAGTATAGGCATCTTCGAAAATAAATGTCAAATATTTTAGATGTACTATACCATTTCTTGTGCATAAATGAACTAAAGGACTGCGACAACGACTCCCATATGCTTTTAACGCTCAAATACAACACTCGAAAAAACAAAAAACGAACTACTCTAAGCTGTGTCTGAAACATGTTCAAAAGGTCTAACAGAAAAAAATATTAAAAAAAAGTAAAGTAGCATTTTATTTCAAATGACATGGTTGCACACGCACTTTCAGTGAAATTAGTTGCACTTTTCTTTCTAATGTTTGTATTAAAACAAAGAGATATACACCGTTCAGAATGTCAAAAAAAAAAATACCTGAATATAAATCAGATAACATGTTGTCGATAATCTACAAACTTCTGAACAAAAAAAAAATTTTAATTAAATGTACTTCTATAATTAAAATATAAAAAAATCAAAACAAAAGATATCGCGTTATTGACTAGATTATTCTTTTGTTTTGTTAAATAAATAAACATTAGTAAACTGTAAAAAAAAAAGATTTTAAATGTTACTGTTAACGGAAAAAAGTGAAACGAATGTAAATTACTGCCAAGAATAATAAATTGTCCAAAAATAAAATGCTTCAGTCATCATCATCATCATTGTAGACAAATAAATCCATTTTCTCTAAACCTAATGTTGCATATTTTGAAACCAATGAGCCCAAGTATAAAAATGGAATTGTTATTGTTAACAATTTAATTATACCAAATGGATATCGCTAAAAACGACAATGATCTCGTATAATTAAGCTTTAGTAGTCCTTCTCAACGGTGGAAACGTTTTATAATGATGTGACCATTTTGAACTTGGATATTCAAGATCACTGTGAAATGACAAGGACCTAATAGAAATATTTAAAAACTTTATAAATTTACTTTTGGCATTGGTCGAATGGCACCGCTTTCTGTATAAACGCCTTTACTCATATAAGGTTCTAATCTAATATCATCCATTCGACGTTGTGCTCGACGATTTTGAATAAATCGAACTACCATTGAACGAGCCGAAGCTTTTACATCTGCTGTTGAGACTTTTCGATAAAATAATAAATGAGGTTGTGATGAAAGTTTTCTACAGACATTTTTTGTTGAAATCATGTGAATAACTAGCTAAATGCAACTGAAGTTATCAGCGTCAGAAAATCTAAACAAAACTAAATAAAAAAGTCCACAATCGTATATAATTTCGAAATTTGTCAATTTTCACTTCTTTCACTATTTTTTCTCGTTAACCCATTAAGTACCATGATTCCTATTTGAAAATATTAAATAAATGATTCTGTTATTTTCAGATGTGTAAATATTTTTATTATGCAGCATATTGTTAAAGAAAGCATAAAATTTGCCACACAAAATTAATCGACACGATTTTCAAATGACAGAAAATTGCCTAAGAAAATTTATGAAATATCTAAGTTTGAAAGCCTAAAAATTTCATAAAACAATATAGTATTGAAATTTTATTTTTAAATCTTATTTCGATACATCTTTTTATGCATAAAAATTAAGAAAAATCAAAATTTAAAAATCTGATACTTAATAGGTGAAAAAAATCGAGAATAAAAATATACTGTAAATGAAGTTAAGATAAAGGGGAGTATCATGCGTATATCTGTCATATTTTGATCGTAACTTTTTTACATATATTCAGTTTCAAATACGCAGTGTTTCTGAAGAATTAGTGTATACAGCAGGAACTAGCTGCACAGGACATTCTGAAAAATAAATGTACACTCTATTGGAGAAGGTTATCAATAATGGAGAGTTAAATTTGCTGTGTGAAGGATACTTAATAAAGATTTAGTTCGATATCGAGAGTTAAAAGAAAAGAATGCATGATGATTCTTCGTAGTTAGAAATTACCTGTCAATATTGGCTACTGTCCAAATTTTAAAAAACTGTATTTCAGTCAGTAGAGCGTCAAATTCTGAAAAGAAAGGCGTACTTTTTATTCTTAACAAATTGGTTTTGAGACCGAAATATTGTTTCAAAATCCAGTTTCGTGAAATTTCATAGTTTTAAAGAAAAATCAATGAAAAAGAAAACAATTAACGGAAGCATGGCCAAATTATGCTGTTTTTCATACCCGATTCAATGAAACCAAGACTGCAACTTGGTATGTCTTCGTTAAGTTGAAGCTCAGATTTTAAAATGTTTTGACTTTTGCTAGAAATAATTCTCTCAAAAAATTCTGGATTCGAAAAGACCATAGTACTTTACAGATTTAAGATGATTTTTAGGATACATTTTAGAACCAACTTTGTCGAAAAAGGAAAATCAAAGCAATTTTTAACGTTTTCGGCAGACATTTTGAATCCTTTCCACATTTTTTCTCTTGGCAACTAGTTTTTAACCAATGCTGCAGTTACGTGGTATTGGCAGTTCTACCTACGATGATTCTTGGGCAAGATATTCTATAACTAAAACTTGTAGATATCTAGTCACTATCATTAATGTGAAACTAATAGAAAGTAGTGCTTGATACCAGAAATGTTAGTTGTGGAATATCTCGACCACACTGTCCCGAAATGTTACGGTAAATGTGTACCAATGTCATGCTAAAACTGTGACAACGATAAAAGGTAACATTGTCATACTTTTAACTTGACATTTTTACCGTAATGTAACATTTCGGGACTGTGTTTTTAGATTCTTTCTATCTTTTCTCTCATTCGCTCTTCTGTTCAGCTAATCGATTTCTCTACGGTATCCTTCACCTACAAATGATATTCACTTTCATGAGCAGACATTATATGTTAATCATCTATTGTAGTCCTACTGTCTAAGCTTTTACTATAGTAGAACTGGGCTAATCACTACTTACTATACTGTCACGCAAGGACTCGACAGAAATTTTTACCCATTGGGCTAACTCTCATTCAGATAAAACAAAGAAATAGGTCACATTACAAAAATAAAGGAAATAACTGGGCCAGCGTTATCATTTTCTGTATAAGATTTATTTGTGATCAAGCTGCAATGCGTGCACATGCACCGCGTTTAGTTTAAAAAATGTCATTTCAGGTTGACACTTATTTTGCATCTAACGTATTTTGACCCTTAATCAGGTTGCATATACTAATTCATTTATATTATTTGTTAGCTTTTTTAGACAAAAATATTAAGTTCAGTAGTAGACGTATTGTTCAATTAACAAGATTTTAATAGTCTCACATAAAGTATTCGGAGTTTTTTGTATGCACTTTTATGACGGACATCGAATGAGGAGAAGTAATCTTGTTTGTCTGAAAAATGACCGTTCATAGTCGGATGTAGATTTATCAGTTTTTAGTTTTCAGCTTATAACAGAAAGATGAAATACAATGCGAAATTGCAGGTGTTCATCAGAGGTGAGTGAACTTGCGAAATTTTGCAAGACGAGATAAATTGCCAGTTTTGTAAATGAAAGTGTCACAAGACAAGACGAGACGTTTGAAAATCTCGTTTTATCCACTTCTGGTATGCATACACCTGAGTTTTACTCGCTATGTAAAAACTTTTCTTTTGCAGTATGCACAGAGTTGAATATTTCTAGTATGCGTCGTCATCAACTAACAGCTAAATAATCATCCCAAAATATGTGATGTTAACTTAAGAAGTTCAAATATGTTCATGACTAACAGTGCAATGTTATACTAATCCTTCTTCTATGCACAGTACATTCTTGACACACTTAAAAGTAAACTTTTAAACTATTTTGTTTATTCTTTAGTAGTTCATTGGAAAAAGCCACCAGTGGACTAAACCTATCAAACAAAACTCAATAGTTTCCAAAAGCAGGATATATCTCGAACTATCATATGTATCAGCTAGACACTTTTATTCTGTGAACATGAGAAGCGATCTTTCTAGGAGTCTAAAATGTATCGATTAACTGTGCATAGAAGAAGCATTGGCATAACATTGTTAGGTGTGAACATACTCGGACGTCTGTAGTTAACATCGCATGGTTTGGATTAATTGTGAGGCTTTGTTTAGTTGGTAGTGAGTGACGGCGTATGTTACAAAAATCGGAATAGAGTAAATACATTATATAAAATGGAATTCTTAATTTTATATTAAAGCATATTTTTTATATCGATGGCTTATCAAAATGATTTACCTCCTCCTTATCCAGGGGACTTTAACGATGGATCGAAACCAGCAACTGCTCCGTACTATGGAAATACTCCTCCAATGACTGTTCCAATATACACTCAAGCTCAAGCTGGATGTAAGTCGTTTTCAACACATCATTTTACAATTTTTTCAACAGACTATTGCTTATCGGTTAAGATCAACCTATCTTACAATCAATGCATATTGGACGAGCACCAATGCAATGCGTGTGTCCTCACTGTCACCAATCGATTATCACAAGTGTGCAACATGTAAGTCGAAAGTCTGAAAATTTTTGAATTCAATATTATGTGTGTTTCCCTTTTTAGAGAACTGGTGCATTTGCTTGGCTTTTATGTATTCTTCTAGTGATATTTGGGTACGTATAACGATTTTTTTAACCGTTTCACAGATCTTCTTATGTGCTTTGTTGATTGGATGAAAGCTTCAAACTGTTTATTTATATTTTTACTAGGACAATATTCATACATATTTTCTATTATTTCGTTTTAGTTGCGTACTTTTTTGTTGTTTAATACCATTCTGTACTGAAAGTTGTCAGGACACAGTTCACTATTGTCCAAATTGTCGCCATGAGTTGGGACGGTATAAAGTGCTTTAAATGAAAACGAAGATTTATTTTAAGGAATAAAAAACACGTTGCAAAATAGGTGGAAAATTTCTGAGATAAAAAGAATTCTTTCGTTTTGGAGTGGTTTCATCTTTTTTCAGTCCTTTTTTCCCTTTAAATGTATTATATTTTTTATTATTACGGCTCTTGGCTCTTCTTTTAATGATAAATTCTTTTTATCTTATTACTATACATTCATTCATGCAGCACTATGCGTATACGTAGCCAAATATGGCCTTATTATCTTTTTATGCGAGAATGATTCGGTGGTTTTTGGACTTTATTTTTTTCTGTCTTCTAAAAAATGATATACATTGCAATATTTTATCTCATAAGGTTTTGATTCGGTATTGGTCTCCACTAGTATTTTTCAATTTTCTTGTTGCGTTATTCTCTTTTTCTTTAATATCAATTTATTTTGCATTTTTACTAAGAATTGAGAATGTTCTTTTTGGTGCTATATCTCTAGATATTTCGAGTATTTCATAATTTAGTTCCTTTGATTAGTCACTTTTTCTGATAATTTACAACAGAACTTGCTTTTCTCTTTTTTTTGTACAGAAATTTTGATGAACATTCTTTTGCTTATTGTGGTATATATTTTTCTTTTGTTATTATCGTTCGTAGCTTTTCTGTGTTTACTGTTTTGAGATTTTTGTTAGCGTCACAATCACATCTACTATAAGTAAATAAAAGTTGCTCTATTGTGTTACTTCTTAATATGAATGCGGTCTATGTGAAAACACAATACTACACAACTGTATGCCATTCTTATGTTAAAAAGTTACAAACATTTTCTTACAAGTTCTGAAATATACCAAGAAAAGTACAGTATTTTCTCTCAAAATTCTTTTATAATTTAGAGTTTTTCATCTTTTTTCCAGGCAGATGTTGAAGAGCTCGGATTGTTTGTACAGTCGCGGCCAAAAGTCTTGCGTCACTTTTTTGTTTTGCTTATTATATGAAAAATAAAATAATATTTAATCACGTTGAATAGAAATATGTGACCGCACTAATCACGATTAAAAAGATAATCGTGATTTAACTTGTGATAGCCATAACTATAAATACTCAGTGCGCAGGAGAAAACTCATTTTTGTGTTGACAAAGTTGAAACTTGAATACAGTAACACTCTTTAATCTGATCAATAGATTTGTTGACACCGGCTACTAATAAACCTTGTATTTTTTTTCGGGCGTCACGATTCCGATGATTTTGCCATTTCATTCGATATCATTTCATCTTTTAACAAATTTAACAGCAAGTTTGTTTCTTCCTCAGACCACCAAGATCTTTTTGTCTTCGTTTTATCCTTGTAACTCTGCGTAGTGATTTTTAAGGCCCACCAAAAAAAGGTCGACTTTCGTC